AAAGTGTAGTGCAGCGCGCCATGCCGAGCGCGGGGAGCGAGGCGACAGAAGCGCAGAGTGGCGTTTCCACGGGGAATCTGGGCCACTTGCCATGGCAACAGATACCCAAATTTGTCCCTGGCACCACCAATGTCGATGAGTACGTCTCTCGCATGAAATTCCTGAAAGAACTGTGGCCAGAAGACCAGCTCCATCTCTTGGGGCCAAGGGCAGCTTTGCAGGTGGAAGGGTCTGCTTTTCAGAAAATCAGCAGACTGTCCCCGGAGAAGCTCAGGCAGCCAGATGGAGTGAAGATTCTGGTGGAGACCTTAGGTGGATCCTGGGGTCGAACAGCCATGGAAGAGAAGTATCACTACTTCGAGCAAGCAATCTTTCAGGTGATGCAGCGAAATGATGAGACCAACGACTCCTATGTGTCCCGGCACGACGCTTACTTTGAGGAACTGCTGGCCCGCGGAGTTACCATCGAGCAGGTGCGAGCTTATGTGCTGCTTCGGCACTCACAACTGGCGCCGGACGATAAGAAGAGAGTGGTGGTTGAGTCCCAGGGGGACCTTAAGTACAACGAGACGGTGAAGGCCATCCGCCTCCTGGGCTCCAAGTTCTTCGGGGAGTTGCAGGCAAAGAACAGCACAAGTCAAGGACGCATGGCCGAGAGAAACCGAGTGTACGACGTGAACTTCACGGAAGAAGACGGCCAGGACGAGACCTACTACAGCGCCACGCAGGACGAAGAGCCAGACGACGAGGACCTTCTCTGCTACTTCTTGGAGCAGAACGACCCAGATGCCGTGTACATCACCGAGTTTGAGGATTCGATTGTCGACGCGATCCAAGAGTCAGACCTTGCACCGGTGTACATTTCGTATCAAGAAGCAAGACAAAAGTTGCGTGACAAAGCGAAGGCCAGAGGATTTTGGGGTCCTTCCAAAGGCCGGGGCAAGAGCAAGCACTCTGGAAAGAAGGGCAAAGGCGGATCCATCTCGGTGAGCTCATCGTGGGGCATGGGCCGCAACAGGTCCCTAGCGGACAGGATCGCAAATAGTTCCTGCAGGTTGTGTGGGGCACGTGGACATTGGAAAAGGGAATGTCC